GTGATACTTTGCTCAGAAGAACATTCTCCAGCTCCATCCATGTGAACATGAAGGATGTAAAGTCTCCATCCTTCTTAATGGCTGCATAGTGAAAATCCTTCTGATACTTGAAAAGAAACGCCAACACACACTATGAAAAAAAGCCAATTCCTTCCTGACTATTGGAAACTGAAGGAGAATCAGTAGCTTTTAGTTGGCCTTTCCCTCCCAGTTGCGTTTCTGGACAACTAGACAGCACAGGTGGAGGGAGAAAGTTTATCTTTACAAAACAGTTTCAGTTAGTAAGTGTTGAACAAAATGATAAAACTCAAAGACCACCCTTTGCCATCCCTAACAAAACTACTGATTCAGCAACAATTATCAATGAATGGGAGAGTGGGACCATGGCACCAGCCACCCACGGAGGAAAGGGCGCCGTGAACAGGCAAACAGAGGGGGCCAGGCTGCCCCACCCAGACCTATACATGGTCCCCGCATCTCCACATGCAGGACACCCAGTCAGTATAACCACATGCCCTCCAAGGAGGCCTGCAAAAATGCTGACCCTGCCCTGCCTACAGCTCCCTAGCTGGCAGTCACCTCTGGGGCTTAAGGCAGAGCCTCCGAGAACATTCCCCATGCTCTGGCGAGGGCAGGGACCCACATGTCACTCCTTGTGCTTTTTAACAACGTGTGGAATGGGTACAAACAGCCCCAAATAGTGGTATTTTTGAAAAGTGAGGCAAATACAGCACAGGGTTGTGGCTTCCCTTAGTGCCTGCCAAGGAAAAACACCATCCTAAAGGCAAACACCACACCTGCTGATGTAAGCTTGAGTGAGCTCCTTCACAGCCCAGGGAATTTTGCTGCCGCTCAGCCCCTGGCTGGTGCTGGCGCTGCCACCAGGGCCCAGCGCCACCTGCATCGCAGCATCTCTGGGACTGAAACTGCACTACCCTGGGGCCTTCCACAGCACCACGGAGGCAATGGAAAAGGACAAAGCCAACACCATGTCAGTGTGCCCTGTGGGACTGAGTTCCGCTGACTCCAGTGACTGGCCAGCAATCTCCCAGAGTCAACTCACAGCGGAAGGCGGGTACAATGTGGGGTGTGTGCCACACACAGAGGCCAAATGGGCTGCTGCACTGACCAGATCAACTCTGGGACCAAACCCAGCGCTGTGTGCCCCACCCCACCTCCAGACCCTGTCTGCTCCTGCTTTCAACATGCCCTCCCTGCCCACCCACACCCCATCCTCCCTTCAAGCTCAGGTTAGATGTTACTTTCTTACCCCACATCTAGCCAGGTTAGGCCACCAATGACAAACTCTCACAGCACCTAACGCTGGACTTAAGACCATGATCTGATAGCAACTGTCACCACGTGGTTCACCTGTGCTGTCCTGTCTTCTAGGCGACTCTGCACGATCCCCACAATAGTTAAGTACACCCAGTTGTTCCCTACCATCATGGTTGGTAACACTGGTTAAAAAGCCACACGTGTGTACTCCAAAAGGCACTCACTCTGGTCCTCACAACACCTTCTTATGGCCAATGCTACTGCCTGCTCACAGGTCAGTAGGGTGACTCGAAATACCTGCCTGCTCACAGGCCGGTAGGGTGCCCTGAAATACCTGCCTGCCTACATGTGCTGTGACTAGGTCACACCCAGAACACAGCCAAAGAGGTAGCATATGGAAAGTCAGGACTTGACGCCACAGACCCTACATGTCTGAACATTACCTGACGCACCCCGTTACTCATCAGAGCATAATGACTTTAGCTGCACGTCGTCACAGTGCTGGTGGCAGACTTCCTCCCACGAATTCAAACTCAGCACCGCAGCCCAGTCAGGCTCCAGATGATGGACTGGTCTCCCAGCAGGTGGAGGAAACCTCCCAGACCATACAGTGCCACCCTGCCTGATCACTGTGCCCACTGCTTTCCAGAAGAGTACAATGATGGGAGCGTACTGGTTCCCCTGCCGCTCTGCTTAACAGTCAGGCAAAAACCAGAAAACTGTTGAGAGAATCAGCCTGCAGGAGTTAAGGTGGAGGGACAGGACACTGGCCACTGGAGGCGATCCATGATGCAGAGTCCCTCCGTTGACTATGCCACACTTCCACGCCTAAATGTGGCAAGCGTGGGTCTGATTTGCTTCAATGCCTTCAGAAAAGGTACCTGTGCACCTGGAAATTCATTTCAAACTCAGAAAAAATGTCGTATGCCAAAAATTCGTCTCTTGTCAGTTAAAACACTACCAAGAATTGTCAGTACCCAGTTTTGAGGGTGGGGGCGCCCTGGTAACCACGGTACCCCAATCCTGTTCAGCACTGGGCTTCCGACTGACGACTGACGAGGCAATGCAGTATCACATCAATAAGACCCTACGACCCTTGACAAGCCGCCTCAGCCCAGTCTGGGGCGCCCACTCTCTGAATCAACCCAGCTCTCCCGAATGGTGACGCTACTGAAGCCCGAGAGGTGAGAGGCAATGCTCAGGAGGAGGAACATCCAGAGAGGGAAGACGTCTTTGAAGCTCCTAGCTCCCTCTCTCCCTTGTACAAATTAAGAAACTGAGGCTCTGAATGGTGGCCACCAACAGGGGACATAGCCGGACTCAAAAGCAGGTCACTACTGCCCTTGCTCTGCGTAGGAGAGAAAGAGGGAACTGCCTCCCTAAACGGGACCGAGCAGGACCTGAGTCCTACTCCACCAAGGGGACCCTCCTCCACCTGGGGGGCCCGCCCGGGGCCTGGGCCTGGGCCTGTCCCTCGGGGCGCCACCCGCTCTGTCCCGGGGCGGGAGGGAATCCGAGTCTCTCCCAGCGCCTCTCGTGGCCCCCAGCCCGCCCTGCTCCCCCTCGGCGGAAGGGCGGCCGTGGGTCCCGGGAGCTTGGAGGAGCCCGCCCGTCCGCCCGTCCGGCCGCTCGCCGCAGCAGAGGGAAGGAGCCGGGTCGAGGCCCCGCTTGCCGCCGCCCCCGCTCGACCGCGCTGGGAAGCCTCACCGGCCCGCGCTGCGTGCTGACGGTGGTCGCCATGGTGCTGCGGCGGCCCCTGCGCCTCGCCGACCCAGAGAGCAGAGACAGACGCGCTCTCGCGCCCGGCTGGAACCTGCGACGCCGACGATAGTCAGTCGCCCAAGGCAGCCGCCGCCACAGTCAGCTGACGGCCACCACGCACCGCCCACCGCCCCCACTGCGCAGGCGCCGCTCTAGGCCCCGCCCCTTCCGGGCCCCTCACGCAGGCGCGCTGCCGCCTCGGGCGGGGGCCGAGCCTCCTGAGAGCGCTTGCGCAGTTGCTCTAGCCTTCCGCCAGGCCGCCTTGCGAAATTGGTTCCAAGAGTGGGCGTCTGCGCATGCCCAACCTCACAGGTTCTGCTAGGGCACTGCGGAAACGGCCCGGACCACTTCAATCCTCCCAGAGGAAAGGTGTCCGAGTTTAAGCTTTTGAAATAGGAGTCGGGGTGCAGGAGAGAAGCGTGCGGGCTGGCAGGGATTGGAACGGCGAGCCCTTCCCGCCTGGCAGCACCTGGCTGCTCCTCCCTCTGCCCGCTCTCCGCGGGGATTGCGGGGACAGAGCGGAGGCGGTGGGTTTCCCGGGCGGCCCTGTGTTCTCGTTCTTTTTGAGCTGCCCCAGATCCCAGATTTGATGGCCATTCCTGCTGGAGTCGCTTTCTTCCTGGGCGCCACCCTGCTCTCTCTGCTCGCGTCTCCAAGACCACACCTCCCAGTGTGTCCTGGCATCTTCCCCGGTCCATGGGCACCGCCTCGCTGTAATCTCGACCTGCGCTCAGTGAACGCCACAGTTCAGTTGCTATCAGCCGTCTGCAGGCTGCTGATCACGAAATGCTACCCGGCCTCGACCTCGTCTGAGCACTAGACCCACCTCCCGCCTCCCCAGTCCTCCCGCACGTGGTGGACAGGTGGGCCCAGGACCCCAACCTCCAGGTGTTCACATTCTTGTCCAGTCCTCCTCTCCTCTTTAGGGCGGTCGGGGCTGTGACTTTTCCCCAAACAATAGAACATAGCAAGTGTGGTGGCGTGTCACCGCCATGGTTGGCCTGCATTGCATTATTCCCTCGTGCCTGCAGACCCGATCTCAGGGCCTCTCATGCTCTGAAGAAGCAAGCTGCCATATATCCGCAGCTTCAAGAAAACAAATTCTGCCAGCAACCTGAGGGAGCTTGGTTCCTTCCCCAGTCAAGCCCCTAGATAGAGTGCAGCCCACCTGCCTCCTTAGTCACAGCCTGGAAGGCCCCAGTGGAGCTGCCTATGCGCTCGCCTCGGACCCTGAGACCACGGTGTGCCGTTTACTCCGCGGCATTTCCAGCTGGTCATCTGACTTAAGTGTTATTGGAATCCTGGAGGAAAAAGAAAAGATGGCTGAGAACCTTGCAAGTTAATGACAGGAGCCAAACCACATACGTGAGCGACAGTGAATGCCAAACAAAGAAACGAAACACTGGGTCACACCAGACTCGCTGCCAATAATGAAAAGCAGAAAGTCATAAAAGCAGCCAGAGGAGAAAGGCACTTTACTTAAAACTAAGAATAACAGACTTCCTGTTGGCAACAATTTGAGCCATGAGACAAAGGGATGACTCTCTAAAGTGCTGAAAGAAAAAAAAAAAAAACCAGAATTCTATACCAGCTGAAACACCTTTCAAAAAGGTACAGTGACACACATCAGGGCAGTGGTTGTCCCGGCGCTGGGTTGGGGTAGTGGAGATAATTGATGGACCTGGACAGGACTTTCTGGGGTACTACAAAGATTATATGTCTCGATTGAAGAGGAGTTGTTACACTAATGTATAAAGTTTTGAAAACACATTTGACTATATGCTTATGATCTGTGTGGTGATCTATTCTATTTTATCAGAATAATTGAAAGCATGGCATTCCACCGGCAGAGATCTCACAGACCACCAAGGCTTATACGAAAGGTCTTTATTGGTGGGGGAGGGAGGCTGCAGAGCAGCACCAAGGAGGAGAGAAAAGAGAAGCAAAAAGGGGAGAGAAAAGAGGAGAGTGAGGAGGAGAGAGAGTGGAGGAGAAAAGAGAGAATAAAAGAAAAGCATACCTGTATATAGGCTCCGTTAGGGGAAGTCTCAGAATGATGATGGGATGGTAGAATAGCCAATGAAGAGCCATTAGGGGTAGGTCATAGTTTTAATTTTTCAGCAAGTAAGTTTTGTGACCTGGAGATGGGCTTTCTGGGGGAGGGGCTTTTCTGGAACAATACCTAACAATAATAAAAAGTTAATGATGAAAAGAAAACATCTCAATGTATGCAACAGGGTTAATCTAAACTTATTAACAGGTCTTACAAATTTACAAGAAAACATAGCAAAACACAAGGCAAAATAAGAAACTTTTAAAATGTTATAATTGTCTACATAGAAAGACCTACAGACTCTACAGGAGACAAATTACCATAGACCCTGTGTACGTTGACCACCCAAGGCACTGTAAGGAACTAGGCCTGCTGTGGTTATGCATACATGTGGTGCCTGTCCGGTCTGTGAAAATACATCAACCTAAGGAGGTGGTCAGGGTAGGGAGATGGTCAACTCTCCCTTGAGACATGGGAGATTCTATTGTATCAGAAACAAGAACTTAACAAGGTGAATCAGATGTTGAATGTCACACTTACTACATGTATTTTAATGATTATTTATACGGGTATGGCAGGGCTAACACAGAGGACAAGGACTGATGCAGCTGGCAGGACTGACAGACCAACTATAAGGAAGTTGCTAATAGAACCCAGTGGGAGATGGACCACCCAGCCGGAGCTGGGCCTTAAGGAGAAAACAGCGACTGCTATACTGAAAATCTGGGAAGCCAGGGAGGAAATGTGGAAACACCCTTATGTCTGCTACCCTCCATCGCCTTCCAGTGCCTTCTAGTGTTGGCTGATCCCAACAAGGTCGGAACAAGGAACCCAGGTGGTCTGGTCTGTGGAAGGCAGCCCCCCACACACATAGAGGATTGTGTCAGTCATCTCCTTTGTGTGACCAGCCATTGCAAAACTTGGTGATTTACAACACCAAGCATTTATGTGGTTCACATTCTAAGGGGCAGTTCTGGTCTGGTTTGCGTTCACATCATGTCTGATGGTATCACACATACCTTGTCGGTCAGTTTGGCACGTTAACTAGACTCTGACAGGTCCCAGAGAGTGCCACTCTCCTGCCCAGCTCTGCACTGTGGCCATGGGGTTGCTGGGCCAGGTGTCTCCCCTTACTCGGCAGGCTCACCCGAGTGTCTTCGGATGGGGTCCAAGGCAGCAGGAGGTCAAGCCCCATCATGCAAGTGTTTTCTGGGTGGCCCACTTCTGTCTCGCCTGCTAGTGTTACCTGGTCAACCCAGATTCAAGGAGGAAAGAAGTGGATGCAGTGTAGAGGAAGAAGAATGGGTTGTAAAGTTGCACTGAGGCAAGGCTGGGGAATGGATGTGGGGGTGGGTCGGGGAGCAAATGGATAAAAAGAGAACCATTCACACTGTTGGCCTCAGCATCCCCTGTCGTTCTTTTTATTTTTTATTGATACATAATATTTCACATTGCTATGGGGTAGGCATGATATTTTGTTATGCACATGACTGTTACCTTCAGGTTGGGGTGTTTGGGGTGCTCTTCACCTTCAGTGTTTATGTGTCTATGTGTTGGGAATAATTCAACTCCCTTCTTCTGGCTATTCTGAAATGTATAATACATTGTTGCTATCTGTAGTCACCCTTGACATTAGAACCTACTTCTGTCTAACTCAATGGTTCTCAACCTTCCTACTGCTGCAGCCCTTTAATACAGTTCCGCTGTTTACATACAGACCCACTGGTCTAACTGCATGTCTGTGCCCATTAACCAACTCTCATCATCTCTGGCCCTGACCACACACCTGTCTCAGCCTCTGGTCTAGCTCATTCTACACTCTATCTCCATGAGATTAAAATTTTCAGCTCCTACGTGTGAGTAAGAACATGTGATATTTGTCTTTCTGTGCTTGGGTTATTTCAGTTACCATAACCACTTTCAGTTCTATCCACGTTGATACAAATTACAGGACTTTACTCTCTTTTTCTGGCAGGGTGGTATTCTGCAGTGTACACATGCCACTCACTTGCTGATTCCATGTCATGGCTGTTGTGACTTCCACAGAGATGCACACGGGGGTGCAGGCATTCCTCTGATGCTGACTTCTTTCCCTTTGGGTAAATACCTAGGATTGCTGGAGTGTAGCATAGTTCTATTTTTAGTTTCTTAAGAAATCTCCATACCAGGTGGTGCCTGTGGCTCAAAGAAGTAGGGCACTGGCCTCATATGCTGGAGGTAGCAGGTTCAAACCCAGCCCCGGCCAAAAACTGCAAAAAAAAAAAAGAAAAAGAAATCTCCGTACCATTACTCACAGTGGCTGGGGCTGGACCAATTTACATTCCCACCAACAGCATGTAAGAAGTCCCTTTGCTCCACATCCTCGCCAGTATCTGTTATTTTTTGTCTTTTGGTGATGCCATTCTAACCGGGTAAGATGACACGTCATCGTAGTTTTGGTGTGCATTTCTCTGATGGTTAGTGAGACTGAGTGTTTTTCTGTATGCCTGTCGGCCATTTGTGTATCTTTTAAGAAATGTCCTTTGCCTACTTTTTAATGGGATTATTTGTATGTTTGCTGTTGAGTTGAGTTCCTTGTGTATTCTGGGTGTTAGTCCCTTGTGGGATGAATAGCCAACAAATGCATTGCCTCATTCAACAGCTTGTCTCTTGTGCCTGGGGATTGTTTCCTTCACTGTGCAGAAGCTCTTTAATATAATCTCATTGGTCTGTTTTTATTTTTGTTGTTTGTGCTTTTAAGGTTTTAGCCATTAAATCTTTGCCTACACCAATGTCCTAAAGTGTTTTCCTTGGATTTTCTTCTAGTAGTTTTATAGCTTTGGGTCTTACAGTTAAGTCTTCAGTCCACCTTGAGTTGACTTTTGTACATGGGGAGAGATACCCTCTCTCTAGTTTCATTCTTCTGCATATGGATATCCAGTTTTCTCAGCACCATTTATTGAAAAGAGTATCTTCTCCCCACTGTATATATCTGACACCTTTATCAAAAATCAGTTGGT